TTTGTAGTTAGTGAGAGCCTTTTTTCTTGCGCTTAAATATTACTTTGAAAGGTTTAAATCTAGTCCTAACAGTTTTTTACCGCATTTTATTTTAGAAAATGTCTTTTTTTTTGTGAAACCTTGAGGTATTTTTATAGCTAAATCAGAGCTAAGAAGGCATGAAAATTTTTGTTCAATTGCTTCTTGCATGCAAAAGTTATTATAACATTTTGGCTACTGGATTGGTATTTTATTCTCTTGGACCTTTTTTATATTAAATTTTGGAAATCTTTAGGATTTCCATTTGTAGTATGTCCGTTCACTGTTTTTGGTAATAGTCCTTCGACTTCTCTGTTAAGTAATTGGTTTTTTATCTGTGTTTCTTCTTAGATTTTGATAGTCCTAAAAATTATACTAAATCCGTATTTTAGTTATTATACAAATTAATAAAAAAACTGATTGTTGGTAGAAATGTTTGGTAATAGGGATGTGAGAGAGGTTCTATTCAGTCACCCGTATTGCTCTATGCCGCGAGGATAAGAATTTTAAGATTTCAGTACTGGATTGTGAAGTCTTTTGTTGTGCGGATAAAAATGTCTTTCAATGTTGCGAAAGAAGGAATTTTCTTGAAAAGTAATCATTGAAGGATGAGTTTTTTTATTTTTGTATTTTTTAGGACTTCTATCTTGAAGTAATTTATGGTTTTTTATGATTTCAGGCATTAGACAGTCATAACTTGCACCACTGCGAACAGAACTATTTAGTTGAATAGGAATCCCTTCTTTGGCTTTATTAAGTTCCTACATTTTTTTTTTTTGGTTCAAGGAATAACAGTATCAGAAGTTATTTGTAGTGCAGATTAATAAGTTGGAAATTTTGCCGTTTGGGAGTTTTCTACGTAGGTTTATTTCTGATGGTTGGTCGGTGTACTTTGGCAAACGTTGTTTACTTTACAAGATTACTGTGAAAATAGTTATTAGGCTTGTGTATATTTTTCTCTGATTACCTCCACAATGTACATTTGCTATAGTGCTTATCTGAGAGTACTTTTTTTTACTACGAAGAATGCTTGTAAGAGTTTGATTTCTTGATTCACTCTATGTTTATGATACGTTGTCTAGTATTCGTGTTTTCTCTGTGCGCTAATTGCTTATTTTATCGATAATACAGTTAACAGATGAAGGTTGATTTTTGCTTGTTCACTGATTAAAAATGACGGCGCTTTTTCGTTTGAAAAAATAATTTTGGCTTTCAGGTTGCTAACCCTTATTGTTTGTTACTGGGTATCCAACCGAGTAGGACTGGTACCCGTACTGAACCAGATCGCTAACTACTTTCATTCTTTCCTTTAGAATATTCCTATAGCTTCCCATTCCGTTGATAGAAGGATGAAATTTTGGACATCAGAGCACACTTTCGAGTGCGTTTTTCATGCCTGTTTCATGTTTTGTTTTTATTTTTGAAAAAAATTTATATTTTATTTTGTAGTCTTTTAGGAATTTTTAGCGATGCAGGAACTGTCTGTAACTGACAGCACTTTAGTGTTGTTTTCAATAACTATTTTTTTCCAAACAGTTTTATCTGTTTTCAATTACGCTATTTTCTGTTATTATTCTCTTATTTTTATTCTTTAATTTGTTAGATTTATTTAAAAATACTTGAATTGGCAAGTATCGTTAGCCGTCATTTAGGTTTGGGGCATGCCATTTGTGGCTGTTTAACTGGAAGGAATAGGTACCGAAGTAAAGTTGATGTTAAAGAGCTTCCTGCAACTGATTTGTAGAAATTTTTAGTCATTCGTGGGATGACGTGGTGAATGCCGCGTGGCGAAAGTATCCTAACCCGGTCAATACTGCAATCACGGGTATCGATGTTCTTCGGCAAGAGCTTTCAAAAGAAGGCGTCTTGCGGTCTGAACGTATTATACAGAGTCATTTTCCAATTCCATCTTGGGTTACAAAGGTTGTTATCGAAGATTTCAAAGTGCTATTGTTTTATCTAGAGGATGATTTTGTGACGGTATATCTGTGGATTATTGTGTAAAGATTCAGGGAATTTCAATAGAACAAAAGACATGAACAATTTTTGAAGAATTTTCGCTTCTACAGATTGTCTTTCAGTTAACAGGTTTTTCTGGAACTCAGTACTCTCATGAAGTCACAGACATTGACCCTGTAAATAAGTGCATGACGCTGGTTTCGAGAAATGTAAGTCTCTGTTATTTTTTTTCAAATTTGTGTTTTATATCCTTCTCATTTTTTGATCACTGTTTTATTTTTTGTATTCACTCAAGTAGCTGTAAAGCTCTTGTTTTTAGCTTAATGCCGCGAGTTTTATACGAGTAGATGAAAAATTGATTTACACTCCAGACCCGACTAACAATAATAAGTAAGTGTCCTAGTAGTTGTAATCTTTTGAAAGACCGAAGTGGATTCTGAAAATTTATTCGTTTTGATTGTAGAACTATATTGAAACAGGAAGCAGCTGTAACCGTTAATCTGCCAGCTTTTACAGATTACTGTGAGAATAGTTTCTTGAATACTTATTCATCAAATGCGCTAAAGGTAGGTATTTCAGCTCAAGTTAGGATTTTGACTTTTTGAAAGTTGTTGTTATTTAAGCAATTTCCAGTAGCAGAATTGTTTTTAGGTTCATATAAGTCATCAAAGGACTTTATTGATTCAGTCGAAAATAGCTTTTCAATAATTACATTTTTTAGGGCCCAAAAGGGATTGAGTGGGTTATTGACCAGATAAAGCGTGAATACTCAGGTCTTTCCTCTAAAGTGACGATTGGTGTGCAAGATTATCCCGATGCTATGTTAGCACAGGTTCACTCGTAGCAGTAATGGTCGAATTAGGATTTCTGCCAGTTCCTTTAAATTAGAATTTATTGGTTTATAACGGGGTTGCATTACGGTCATCGTTTAGTCTTGTTAAAAATGCTGTTTTTAAAAGATGGCTTTGGCCAGTATAAGTGGTAGGTAAAAATGGTTCCTAAAAGTTCTTCGTCTACATTTTTGTTGCTCTTTGTTTTTTTGGCCGGATTTGATTTTAGTGTTGTAATCCATAAGGAGTTAAACTCTTATAGGTCAAAAACCTTATTTTCTCTAATGAATGCAAACTAGTGCCCGATACTCTAAAATGCTCTGGTTCTGACTGTGCCTTAAATAAGGTCATATTCAAATGAGTGGGATTAGTTTCTTTCTTATTCCTGCTAGTAGCGCTCTGATAGGCTTTTATATCTTTCATTATTTTCTCAGCGATCTTTCAGTATGATGTTTCTGATTGTTGGTTAGCACAGTAACATCTTATTTATGAGTAGGTTTGAATGCTTAGTAGAGGTTTGATCTCGAGGTTTTTGTACGTGAAGCGACGTTACTACATTGTTGCATTTTCTTGTTCTCATAGCTACTGCATGTCTATTACGAGTGTCTTTTGTTTATTCAGTTTTTTTTTTGATAGCAGTGGAGCATAATTGCGCTACATTTGTTTTCTTTTCCTTATGATCATGGTATTATTGTTCTGTGATACTGGTACCTCGACTTGAAAGTTTTAATAGTAATTTATGATGAAGGTAAAGAATAATGTTCAAAGTGCAGTCATGCAGTGCAGATAAATTCGCTATTTTGTCCAATATGACTCCTTTAATCGTTCTTCTTTTTCCTCCGTTGCTCTGGTGTCTTTCCCTCCAACTTCTGATCCTTCTATATAGGGTCCGTCGTATTCAGTGACTTAAGAAAGCTTTTGCTAAGCTGGTGATTGTGTTTTATCATAATGCAAGTCTGACATATTTCAAGGAATTACTTCTCGGTAGTTATGTAACTTAAGTCGTATATACATTATGAGTTAGAGGTGTAGAAAAGAAATCCTATTAAGCGGAGAGGAAATGTTTAGTTGTACGCGAGGAGTTATAGTCCCATATTCAGCGAAGAGTGCTGAGTGGGGGGGTTGGGAGTTGAACCTTTCAGCTTGTAATGTATTTTTGCTGCATTGGTTACAAAGGTTTTGTAGCGTGCATGAACCCGATAACAAGTGATGCTGAAGTGAAATGTGGGCATTGTAACAGTTCGATATCAAGCGACTAAAATACGCTAATCAAGTGCCGGACTTAGGCAAGTTGCCTGTTTGTTTAAGCCAACTTTTGGATACTGTAGGCAGTACCGGTATCGATGACACCGTCCAAGCCAGTAGTCATGCAGTTTCTGATCTTTGTCGATTTAATTTTGGACAAAATTTAGTTTGTGAGTTTTATGAGAACCAACATCCTGCATGTTTTAAAAATTGGGTACACTGTCCAAAGGAACCGGTTCTTGACATTAAAAAGAGTAGTCGACAGTACTTTTTTTCAAGCAACAACAGTATCATTAGTTGTTTTGCTAAAAATATGACCACTTGTACTCTGGAACTGTTGAGCACCAGATCATCTAATAAACGGTAATTTTTATACAGGAAGAGGGTTTTTCTCGTCTATCGTGAGATTTAAATGTTTTAATATGTATAAAAAAAAAAAAAAAGGTAAAACCGTGGTTGCCACAAATACTCTTTTATTTTCTGCCTACTGATTACTAATGTACTGAACATAATCTGTTTGTACACGCCACTTTATGACACTAAACTTGAGACCTTCTTTGATAACAAGATGATCTTAGAATAAAACGAGTGTTACTTTACTGGCTGAAATTTACATGACAACAATCAGTAAACGAACTGCCAAACAATGATGAGGTAAGTTGGTGACAGCTGTAAAAAAAAAAATACAGATGGTCAGCTGTGCTGCATACTGCCAATCTGAAAAAATTACATTTCTCACTTTACTAGACTGCTGTTTAGAAGAAAAAAAAGACGCTGAGGACTGAAAAAAAGTATACTGTATTAAAACTGAACTAATTTTAAATTTGCCGCTTGAAGTATGAATTTTATGGGCCAAAAATTATAACATCTAACTTCTGTTTTAGCAGGTAGAAATAAGTACTCTTTTTCAAGTAAATGTGCTTTCTAACACAGTACTGCATCTTATTACCATCAGAGGAAAAAAATGTTTTGATTATGTCGGGAATGATATGCTTATAAATCCTCACCAGCCAGCACCCAACCACTTATCTCCAACAAAAAATTTAAATGATGTGGTGTTGAAGTGAAATAGGGCGAATAATATACATATCACGTAAAACTGTTTCACTATTCCTTAGAATTTACAAGCATTAATTAACTTTTGCCACACAGCATCAAATATTTAAATGCAAAAAATACCTGTCTAGAAGATGCAAATCTTCAAGAAGATGGTCTTGCAAATCTTCAAGAAGAAGTCTAGAAGATGGTTTGAGTATAAAATACCAAATCTTCAACTCCAACAAAAAAGAAAAGTAATGAAATTAAAACGACGATTGGCAGTATGACTGAATACACAACTGACACATATACAGGTTGCTTTCGTGTGTATGTTCAAAAGAATTTACTGCTATATTTAAAATTTTTTTCAAAGATTTAGTTTTAAACTCATATTTTTTTTTCATGAAGTTTTCTTTTCAACTGACTGTAAAGAACTCACTGTAAACAAATACAACGAATCAAACTCTTTTGATTGGAAGAAAAAAAATCATGTTTTTTGCGTTTTAAATACTAGTAATAATCCCGAAATACAAACGTACACAAGTCCAAATACACAACTACTTTAGTATAATACAGTCATCCTTAGCTTACTATTACTTAAGGGCTGGCAAACTATTATAAGACACAAAGAACTCGCATGCCGTGATACAACGCAGTCAACGAATCATCCGTTAAAAGAACTGAGTGACAGAAAATTCTATAAATAGAGCTGCTAAAAGCGAAGGCCGTTTAAAAGCTTAGCCAAAAAATCTTCGTTGCAAGACCGCTGCTATATCGAAATTATTACCAACAGAATATTTTTACTGACACGAAGAAAACCCAAAGAAAAGTAACGTAAAAACAAAGGAAGGATTTTGGCTTGCCTTTTACCTCAGAATCCATAAATGTCAGCTGAATGCAGTTTTGTGTCATTTTTTTTCTTTTACTGCTTTTCCTTTTCCGCTCCTCTTCGCTTTTCACCTCAACTATGCTGCCGGTGCTTCACTTCAATGACAATGAACAATGCATTCTAAGCGGGTCTACCGCAAACAGTCATTTTGCCAATTTTAAGAATGGATAATACGGAATGGTTCAGATTATGGCGCGTAGTTTTTTTACTTTCAAAACTGTTAAAGTCCTATGGCTTAATTAAATTCGGAAGATGGGGGAAAAAAAAGAGAAACGAGTTTTTTACGGGGAGAAATGATGTTGTTCAGCGGTTTACAATCCTGGTGGACCTGTTGGATGTCAGGATGCATTGAATTGGTAAGCAACTTAAGGCCATTGCTATTTGATGATGGGACTTCACTTTGAAAGCGACCAAAATCGCCTTACCGGTAGAACGTTTGTGAAATCATTGTTTTATTTATTTTTATTATATATGCGTCTTTATTCCCAGTTTTTCTGTCTCTTTTTTATGATTGACATCTTGGTGAATTTCTGAAGATCATCACCTTCACAGTCCGTGAACAATTTCTAGGCTTTCATGGTTTTTAAAACATAGAGTAGGTTAGGGAAAAACTTAAAATTCTATAGTAGTAACTTACTGACGAGTGTAATTGACTGATTAACTGGACTTTTTAAGGACACTATGAATTCACTGTTGTGAAAGACAAGTGAAAACTATGGTGTGGATAAAAGTAACAGAGTGTTAATTCTTAGAAGCAGTGGAAATGATTCAGTTAGCTTAATCTTTTTATTTTTTTTTCTTCGCTGATAGTCTCCATGTTCCGTCTAAAAAGTTGTTGCAATAGTGCATAGATTTTTTTTTGCTTATTGTTGTTCAGCTAAATTTTTAGTTTGCTGTTTTATTTTCTTCAGGATTTTAGAGGTCTTACATTATGCTTCCTTACATCTAGTACTAAACTGATTCTTCCGTACCTTTTGGTGCAGTGCACTGGTAGCTTGTTTTGCAACCACTGCCTGAATTAAATTTGTCCAATTCATGCTGCATATTCAATTTTCTGCAGTAACTTCAACGTTTCCCTGACCAGGAATAGATTAGGCGCAGAAATTCAGCTCAGGGAGTATTAGGTACTAGGTATTGGTACTACATTATTTTTTCCTAATAAATCTACTAGTAGATTTATTTTGAAAGGATAATGTAGTATTAGTATCTTGTACCCAATATGAAAGTTGCCCAAAAAGCAGTTGTATAGGAATAAACTGTAGGGAGATACGGAGTGAACTTGGAAGAGTAATGGTGGTTTCTGAGGTAGCGAAACGAAGGTTGGCATTAGACAGAGAAGATCTCAAATGTTTCCTTGAAAACTCTGCTAGAAAATGAAAGATGTGCTGGAAAATTGTTAGCGGTTTTTGTATCAAGAAAAAGTAATGAAGAAAAAGCTTTATATCCTTTTTATATTCCTTTTCTAAACTTCTAAATGTTCTGAGTTAAGATATGAACTTTTTTTGAAATTTTCAAGGGTCTTCAGAAATTGCATTTCTTTGAAAAAAAAAAAAGAAACATTTTTGGTCTGTACTGGTGAATAGATTTTTATTCTAGAAAAAGAAGTGCTATTGTTTAGAGTAACCACGTATAAATTTTCAGTATCTTGCGTCTTGTTGTTGATTATGTTTCTTTGTCCAGGTTATTGCCATTTTAAACGATTTTCGGGTTTTCACTTTCTTCAGTTTTGAAAGAACCAGCAGTTTTTCAGATATTCCAACCTGTTCGTCATCCTCAGTTCGTCTCCCTCAGTGTCCTCTTTTGCATCGTACAAATGAGTCCAACTGCATCATTTGTGCTTTCGTAATAGGTTTTTTTTAATATTTCTATTTTCATTCGAAGAGGTCTTTTTTCTTTTGCTTTTGGAATACTCCTTGAATCAATTAAAGGATTGTTTAAAGTGGTATTTGCTGAAAAAATTTTTGGAGACGACAGCGAACAGTAATAGAAAGGCATGAAAAGACTATTGCATATGGAAGATAGTCAAAAAGCAAAACTTTATAAAATCTTACAGAACTGCGAACTTGAATGCCTCTATTCGTGAAGGGGATTGTTTTAGAAAATCTTTTTAAACTTTTCACTCTTATCTCCAGCAGTTTTTTGAACAAATTAGCAAGAATTAAAGCTTTGAACGATTTCAATTTTCCCTTTTAATTGTTTGTTTTTTACTCATCCGGTCATTTAATGAAGATTTTGCAATTTTCTTTTCGACGTTGTTCTCATGTTCCTTGTCTTGCTTCAGAGGTTTGATGTAACTTTGGTGGAAAGTTGTTCAAAAGTTACTAGACTGTTTCGGAGTTCTTAGTTGTTGATGGAACACTAAGTAATTCTATATCACTGCTGACGGAACAATGACGGAAGAATATCCGAGTCGTGAGTCGTACCATTCAAAAGGCTATTCTATATCACTGCTGCGACATCATGCGGATGCTCTCTTTGCTTACATGCAGCAACTGAAAGCGGTAAGGTGATGGTTTTATTGATAATTTTGTCTTTCAAATATCCCATATTTTCCTAAAATTTTTTGTTGTAAGTATTTCTTAAGGTTTGTTGAGTTTTGGTGGCTTTCTGATGATCGTTTGGTAATACATTTGGTTGAAGTACACCATGAAACATTTAGGTAATTTTTTCAAAAATTATTCCTTACTACTTAGGATTTAGACTAATCACTTCCTCGATGTTGTTGTAAAATGTGACGGAACTTTTATTACTTCTGCTCATCGTCTCATGCTTGCTGCGTACAGCAGTCATTTTGAGGCCGCACTGGCTGCAGTTCAGCCATCGAAAAGTATAACACTGGACATCGATCCTAAAATAACAGGTGGTTATCGGGTTCATTGTGAAGACATTTTTTGCAATTTTTCTTCAACTTATTGTCAGTTGTAGTTTATTTTTAATACTTGTGTTACAAAGAAGTTTAGCCTAAATACAGTAATTCGAAATTGGTGGGAATTGCCACGTATTCCTTTCGGTTATACCATTTTAATTTTACTGGAAATTCCTGCAAATTTCTAAACTCTTATTTTTTACATTTATTACAATGAGTGTAATTGTTAGTATGCTAGGGGTGTTAGGTGGGAAGTATTAGTTTGGTGTTTTCGATATCACGCTGTGGAAGTTGAGTAAAGAAATGAGGTCTTTAATTTTTTAAAATTGTGTGAGAACTCATTTCTTACACATAAGTGTATTTAATTTTAGGAGTGAAGAACCACGATTGGTAGCTGTTCAAAAAAGTGTTATTTTATGAAAGTTCGACTTACTTTGTTTAATGATTTTCTCGTTGCGTAAGATGGATAGTTTCAGGCGTGCAAGCCGAAGAGTTGCGTGAAATAGTTAGCTTTATGTATACAGGTCGTATACGTGGTAATATGAGGGTTGAAAGTGCCCAAGCTTTAGGCTGCAGTTCTTTAGTGTCTCTTTTGGAGAATCAACGCTTTAGTGTGCAGCCAAATGTCGTTTTTGAGGATAGATTACATTCACAGCGACTCCTACAGGCTCTTTTTCGATACAAGTCTGAAAATAGGTTTTTGGATTGCATTGTCAACTGTCAGGTAATTCTTTATGTATTGGCGTATATATTACTTTTTTTTTTTTATTGAATCTAGGCGCTGCTAGTATTGGACGTAGGACTTTCATGTGCAATAAATATTTCTGTTTTTTTCGTTCTTTTTTCTTTTTGGAATATCAGTGTTGTTATATTCAATTATAATTAGAAATCTAAATTATAGTTTTTTTTCAGAACAATTTTCTCCCAGCAGTTTGGCTTTTTAACCTTGCATAAATGGTCTCTTTGAATCTTATTTCCGCCGTTTAAATGCTGTATTTGCTTAGGGTATTCCTGTTTTGAAATGTCATCGGATTTTGCTTGCTGCCTACAGTTTGAACTTCGAAAGTATTCTTATGACTACTGAAAAATGTGCTTCCGTAACGATTGATGTAGACACACAAGTTACAGGGGTTAGCAGGTATGTTATTGACTTTGGTACGTGTTTATGTTTAAAAGTTGCAGGTGTAATTGTTAGTGAATTTCAGCCCGCCTGTTTTTAATTTTCAAAAATTGGAAATTAATTATTTTAATGATTCTCTTTGTTTTATCCAACTGATCGTCACTTATGTTAGATTTTGCAGTGCGGACTTACGAAGTTTAGTGGATTTCATGTATACTGGGTTTGTTCGCACTCCGGTTAGACGATATCGTTTATTACGTCAAGCTGCAACAACTCTTGGTGTTGGACGTCTGGTCGAGACAATTGACGATGAACTTACATTTAATGCGGAACAGTGCCCTTCCTCTTCATATAACTCACAGGGAAACAGTAGTAAAGAATTTGTTTTTTAACCTCCTTATTGTTTTTTTTCCCTGCTAAAGAATATTCATTATGCTATTGTTTGCTTTAACTTGGTATAAAATTGTGTCGTTTGCGTTGAAGTAAGCTGCAAACTTCTTTTTTCTATAAGGTCTATCATTTTTTGAAAGTATATTTTTATAGAAACTAGTTTAGTATAGCTTAGCTATTACCTTATCAAACTTATGAATTTTTACTTAGTATTAATCAATTAGAAAATATTTGTTTCTTATGTTTAGATGTTGTAATTTATTTTCGATTTTATTACTCTGCTTGGGAAGGTCAGCGGGATTGAGTATTTTATTAGCGTAACCTTCCGCGGTGGCTTTTCTTTAACTTTACTCCATAATTTTTTGGAATCAAATATACGTTCTGATATTTTTGTTGGGGTTTGTTGCTCCGTGGTATGCTTCCTTCTTCTGCCCCAGTTTTAAAGTTGGCATTTTCTTCGAAAAAACAATGTTTCCTATCTTGTTTTTCTTAATTTTTTTTTCGGAAAGATGTGAAAAATTGTTTAGATTTGCCACAAGAAAATTACGAAGTGGAAGAACCTGCGCACAGGACTTTTACAGCTGTTGATGATTATTCAGACATTTATGAAGAATATGTTTCTGGCCCTCGTAGGGGGAGAAAAGGCGGTACTTATGGTAGGAAGCAGGAAAGCATTACTATAAGAGGTATTTGACTGCGTCCTTTTTTTTTTGCTTTATTAGAGCTATATTTCTATAAAATGTACCACTTTTTATTTCATAAAAATGTTGGCTTTTTTATTTATTCATTTTTTCTGCTAGTTTATATAATGCTTGAGGAAAGGTTTATTTTTTTTTTCTAAATTTCTGTACATTGGTCTGTTTGAGGTTTGGTTGGACCTGACAGTAGCAACTTAACTTATCTCGAACCTGCAAACGTTGGAAATGATTCTGTTCCCGCCGTAGCTATATCTTTTACGCCCGCAACAAAGCGAAGAAAAATAATGGATAGTTTTGGATACGGCTTACCAGAAATTATTAGACCTCACGACGTTACAGTTCCTCTGCTGGTTGGGGATCAGCGAGTAATGGTTTTTGCCATAAAAAGTTTTTTAAGCTTGTATTTTGAGTTCTTTAGTAGAACCACGTTAAATTCTTCTGGATTTATTTTGTAATTGTTTCTAGGTAATGATGGAAAAGCCATTCAAGTGCCCATATTGTGATCATCGTACGAAAGAGAAAAGTGCTGTGGAGAAGCATATTAGGTGTATACATACCCTAGAGGCTCCTTATAAATGTCATATTTGCACCCAGGCTTTTAAAGTGCAAAGTAATCTTGTACGACACATTCGGGCGCACACTGGTATCATACTCTTGTTTTCAATTTATGAAAAGCATTGTTGATCTATTTCCGATCAGTTTCTGTTTTTTGCAATTATTGTCTTTGGCCATGTAAGTGCCTAGGCGCAGAATTACTTCCTCATTTTTGTAAGAGTTGCTCGGTATACGTTTGAAATATCATATTGGGAAATTTTGGTTAAGCTTGTCTTTTTGGTTTTACTGCAAGGATTATGGCTGGTTATTTTTGGCTGTTCTTTAGGAGAGAAACCGTATGCGTGCAAAAAATGTGGTACAGCATATGCTGATAAGAAGAATATGGATGCTCATGTATTTCGAGAACATCTTAAAATGAAGCCACTAGAATGTCCTGAACCGAACTGTGCTGCGAAGTTTTGGAGGCATGATCGTTTTGCGCACCACTGCAGAAAGATACACGGTTTTGATCCAATCGTAAGGGAGAAGACTCCGTAGTTTGTTTTTCAATGCTTTAGAGTATTTTCTTGTGTTTTGCCGGGAGAGTTCACTATAGGCTGATTTATTGAAAAAAGAAAAGTTCTTACTGGTAAATATGGCAAAATCTTTTTTTTGCCTTCTGATTCTTGATTATTTATGTACTCTTCTCTTCTAGAATTTAAGTCTTGGTTTAATTGGAATTGATACTTAGTTTTATGAAAATAACTGTGGGAGACAAATCTTTTTTACTACTTTTCAATTGCCGAAATTCGCTTAACAGAAATTTTTACTGTTTCTTAGAATTTGGACCAACTGTCTGTGTTGAAAATTTGCCTCTTTTAGAGCATTATAGCAGATTAGGGATGTTAGTTGATTTTTTTTATGTGAGTAGAACTGGTGTTATTTTTTGTTATGGATCATTCTTTACTGCTGTGATAAGAACCATTTAAAATGAAAGGTGTGCAAACGATAGTGTGTTTCAGGAAGTATTGTATTTCGCAATGCTACTTAACAAGTTGAGAAGTCGAGCAACTTTGAGAAAAAGACGGTCGAAGACGTTAGGGGAAAGTAAATATTCTGTTGTAACAGATAGCATCATTTGACACTCAACTGAGGGTTTTCTGAAAGTTAGTAACAGGAAGAAGGTTTAAATTGTGGCGGTTTTTTATTCAGTTATAACTTCTGCTTCCTAATAGTATTGGTTAGTATTGAATCAAACTTCTGTTTACTTGACACGTCTTTCGTGGATACTACGATGTACAGGAGGAGCGTGTGGTTCTGTTTTGGATTTGACAAAGAAGGGAAGAATAGTCAAGGGTGCGTTTTTTAAGTACTGAATAACAGGACAAATATACAGTTCTGTAAGGTGGTACTTTTCAGAAAATTAGGTCCTTATCAATTTGTTGATGAACCTCATTCTTTTACTGTTGGCATAAAAGAAAGTTTTTTTACTGGGTCGTTGAGTGGTTTGTAACTTGCTGCAAGTGACTGTCTTTTGCTCATCGTTTTTCGGTCATTTGTTTTACTACGGGATTTCTTCTGTTGTAAATAAGAGATTTAGATTTATTACGCTAGATAAATTATTTAATAAATTATTTATGTTCTTTCGCTTTGTGATACGTTGTTTTTCTGCAAGCTACGTGAAGTATTTCAAGGGGGCGAAGATGCGCATTTAGAAAATTATTCGAGGTTTACTTTTATTGACAATCTCGGACATACAATTTTGGACGTCTGTCAAAGTCGTTTAGTGTTTTGAGTGCGGTCTGAGGGCGATATTGTAATGTTGCTTTCTGCGCGTGGGGTTTTGATGCCTAGGTTCTGG